AGTTTAGACATCTTTCAGAGCATGTGTCTGAAACAAGATAAATCAAGGAAAAGTATCACGAACCTTGAAGATTCGTTTGGTTTATCCAAATACATCCAAGAGCTATCGATCGCTTACTGAAGTCTCGATCACTCTCTCTTGGCAGAGTATAAATGCAGGTCGTCATTAGCGTTCACAGTAGTCTAACCTCAGCATTAATTTTCACTTCAATTAGTTTTACTTAAATGTATTCTTTTTTAAAAAGAAGTTTTCTAAACTTGAAAACTGATGCACAAAAAGTAATATATATAGGCTCTGTAAAATACTGATTAGAACATTTTATTCGATTATAGAAGTAAATCTATGAAAAGACACGTAACTGCAAAAGTCGAATTACTATTTAAAGTCGTTCCTTGACGCGCAGTTCCACCGTGCGTTTTAAGCGTGTGGGTGTGGCAGTGAAGCGACTGTGAGTCTTTTCGTTAGACACACCCACATCTGCATCCATATTCCACACCCTAGACAACAAAAACGCATTGCAAAAGAACACTAAAGGTATTTGCAGAACGCGTCACATTTTTCCAATAACACATTCATGGCCATTCTTGTTTTATGAACCATCGTTCATGAACACTTTTTATTACGCTTTTCCTAACTTTTCAGTTTACCAGTAGAAAGAACATTAAAATTTTTGTCTGTAATGAATATTTTAGACTGATTTGATATCATAATGAAGAGATATGCAGATGATTTTTCACCTATTTCGGCATTTCAAGCATCTCCTATGACAAAAAGTTCATAAAAAGAACCTTCATAAATGCGTTCTTACAAAAATGCAACGTGTCCTGAAAACGCTTTTAGCGTCCTTGTGGAATATGTTTTTCTTGCCTAATGACGGCTCTTTTTCTGAACAAGGTTGTGGCACAGAGAAGCGCAGTTTTTTTTGCAGCAAAAATGCTAATAGGCTCTTAAGAACATGTTGTTTTATTTTAGCATCGTGATTTTATTCGTTCTTTTTCATTCTTGTTTTTATGGGCAGTCAATATAAAACAGTAAAAGCGAGAAAAAATACATGTTTGCTTTGTTCTCACGTGTAAACGCAGAAAAAAACTGAATTAACATCGTTTGCTCCACCAATGAACAATAACGTTTAAATGACTTGCTAAAGAAACGAAGTAAATGTCTGTTGACAATCAACATCACTACAGAACAGTAGCAAGATGAAATCAGCAAACTTGTTGGCCGAAAAATTACTCAATTGTAAGAGATTAACTTACACAAAAACCACTCTAATGTGACAAACGGTCGAGACCGACGAAACTCGTTCAGTGAAACAGGATAATCATATAAGAGGGATTCAAGCAAAAATAAATTAGGGTGTGGGTTGTGGATCTGAGCCTTCTCTTCACCCACAAGCTTGAATGATTGACTTGCCATTGGATGAAGACTTATATGGACTTCATGCTTTATTTATCAACAACAAACAGTAATCTGTTCTAAATTATCTTTAAATTTTTAATCTCAGATCGGAGAACTGAATTAAACCAATATGATCTAGGTCAAAACGTCAGCAGATACATTTTTCAGCAACAAACTTCTCATTAAAGCAAGTAAAGCAAAGAATGCTGCCAAATTGTCCATCCACAGATTAGATGAACAATAGGAATAAACAAAAAATGACAATACTTCTCATGAGAAAACTATATACGAAAGAAAGCCAAACTCTTAATATAACTTGCAAAGATACTTTTTTTCTCAACAAAACTATGGATTTTTACCGCGATAAGAGAACTGAGAATGAGAAGAATCAGAATAAATTCACAATAGGTTCTTGTAGAGCAGAGCAAATGTTCGCTACTTTTCATCGATAGACTATAGCTGCTTACTGATTGTTTGCGCAGCCAGATAAATAAAAACATTCTTAAGCCAATGTTTTCTTTTTTCTTAGAAAAGAAACTAGCGTGAGACATTGAAATGCATGATATTCTAACTTAGCTAATGAAACGAAGTATATGAATTTTCCAAGGTATATATTCTTGGACCATTATTTAAATTCACGAAAGACAAAAAAAAATTGTCTTCTTCATCCATAACGACGACCTTCTTTACATTAATAAATACTTATGGCATTCTCTTTGGCTTCTCTCGTTAACTAAAAATCAAACTACTGAGAGATTCACTTTTTTTTTTACTTCTGTTGCTTGTTTTATTTCTTTTCTACATACTTCCAGACATGAAATCGAAAAGTACGTCGTCAGAGAACTGTGCAACATGTAATAAGAGTTCTGATCAAAAGGCCAAGCCGGGAATTCCGTTGTGTCGTGACTGTCAGTCCTCATTCTGTCTACTACACATGATGGAACATCGAGATAGACTCGCCAAAACTTTGAATGACATTAGCAGTAAGCGCGATGAATTGAAATCTCATATCAAGCAACTACTTACGAATATCACCTGCAAACCGTACTTAGATCTGATTAACGATTGGGAAGCCAAAATAATCGATAAGGTACATTCTGAAGCCGCAAATGCTCGACGCCAAGTACATGAATTAAACATTAATATGTTCAAACTCGATTTGAACGTGCTAGAAGAAAAATTGGTTGGTTTTGATGAGAATAAAGACTAATTCGAAGAAGATCTAGATGAAATCAAAGCAACGATACAAAAATTGAGGATGAAATGAACGATACTTCAAATATACAGCGTGTCAAAGTGAATTTACCTACATTGGATTGCTCAAATTTTGTCGTTCGTATTGAAAACGTTTTTTTTCCTTTATCAGTTATGGAAGATGCTTGCAAGAGTCAAAAGCCGTTTGCCAGCATTCAGACTCGACTAGAAGGCTCTTTGTACGTATGGAACAATCGAATATTCAATTTTGGCAGACGTGAAGTAAACTCATTTGAATTAGATAAAAAGTGTTTTAGCTCGGTAGATGTATCTGTAAATGGCGAAGTTGACATCAGCATTTGGTCTGTTAGCTCCATATGTATAGAACGAAAGAGACAAGCAGTGTCACTGATGTTATGTGACAGAACGATGAAAAAGATGACCTTCATGGGAATCGAACCCATACCTCCTGCTATCCGGGCAGCTGTCCTAAGCCAATTAGACTAGAAGGCGCATCTTAATCATCGTTTAGCGTCCAAGTGAATCATCATGGACGCTAACATCTCCCCCTTTGCACAGTTCTTTTTTCATTTCTATGCGCCTTCGCGTAGAGGAGAACGTACGAACATGTGCTGGAGTTGTATATACGGTGTACTGCTTGCCCAACTTCTCCACCATTGTTAGCTCCATATGTATAGAACGAAAGTGACAAGCAGTGTCACTGATGCTATGTGACAGAACGATGAAAAAGATGACCTTCATCCCAGGTGATTCGATCCGACTGTCGGATTACGTCGGATTATATCGGATTATATCGGAAAAATTACCGGATTTTAACGGATCCGACGGGAACTCGTCGGAAGTTGTCGGCGTCCTAGCCACAGGATTCCGACAGGAGGTTCCGGATGGCGGAATAATCAGGATCCTGCGAAATCCCTGAAACTCCGACACTTTCCGACATCCAGAACCACTTGTCGGAATCCTGTGGTTAGGATTCCGACAAATTCCGGCGAATTTCTATCGGATTCGACAGGGTGAATTCGACCTGGGTATGCACCTGACATATTGCAACATCAAATTTTATCCTATTGCATGCGTCCATCAAATATTTTCAATGATGAACTATTATCGATAAACGTATCTGTAGTATTTGAGGAAAACGCTGCTTGGGGTATGACATTTCGTGAATTATCGCAACAAGGTATCAACAGTCAACAATTGTTATTATGGTCTGCGCCAATCGATCTAGTTGAGAGATATGAAGTCTATTTGGATAATCCTATTGACATTTTTGGACGGCAAATTTTTCATAAATGTGCATTACCTTGGTTTGGACCACGTTGTCAATATAAATTTCTAAAAAACTATTACTCATTTGGCAGAATTGTAGAATCAACGTTTTCATCTTTAAAACCAAGTCAGGATATAAATGATTTCAAGGATCAACATGCTATACACACGTAAATTGTACTCGGGGTCCATATCCAGTGTGTCTTGATTGGCGTGAAATATGCGACAGCAAAGTGGATTGCCTAAATGGTGGTCAAGACGAAAGCAATTGCTTCGAATTAGAAATACACGAATGTGAAAAGAATGAGTATCGATGTCACAATGGAATGCAGTGTATTCCGCTAGGATTTTTCGATGATAACAAGTTAAATCCTGATTGTGTAGATCGAACAGATGAACCGATTGAGTGGCAGCTAATAGATTATATCAATGTTTGGTGTTTTAGTGATCCATCATTTCGATGTGAAGAACATTCATGTCGACCAACAATGTCTGAGCATTTTGTATGTGGTGATGGACAATGTAGTGCTGAGAATGGAAAATGCAATAGTGGCCGTGCAATATGATAGCATTATCTATGGCAATGCCCCAGTTGAGTGATGATGCCTCTTATTGTCGACTAATCATGTTATGCGTCACTTGGCGAACGTGCTCAGATTTATGTTCAACAGTAAACAAATGCATGAAGCTCATTCGTAAATATTGTAAACAATCCTTATTCATATTCCCTTCTTATCCTATTCTATTCGGTCATGTATATTTTATTTTTTCAAACAATCGATTACCAATAGAAGTTTTTGACTCAATTAAACTATTGCCGGAGTATTTATGTTATGATAAAAAACTCTGTGGTGACATTTTACCTGTCACAACTGTTCTTCTAGGGAACTTGACATGTCGACATTTTGATTCAGAATTTAAATTAGACACTAATGATGAATGATTTCGACTGATTTCTTCAATCAAAGAAATATTCTATAGATGTTCAACTATTCACGATACGAACAATCGAACCCATTGTCGTCATTCATCACTTTATCAATGTGCTAATTCTTCTAAATGTATTTCAAAATATCGTCTGAACGATGGTATACAAGATTGTTACGAGAACGATGATGAAACAGGAGAAAGTCATTTTAATAAATCAAATTCAACGATTAGGAATGATCCCATAATAAAATCCATCTGGTATCCTCTGTTATGTGATGGATATATTGATATAGGTACCAATAAAATTCACAACGAGACAGATGAAACTGATTGTAATTGGTGGCCTTGTAATAATATTTACACGCGATGTAATCGAATATGGAATTGTCATAATGGAATTGATGAAATCAATTGCCCATATTTGCCAGCATGTCCTTCATTATTTCATCCATGTGTTTCACCCGAAACGTTCAATCTTACCTGTTTATCAATTGATAAAGCTGGTGATGGCATAGTCGATTGTTTGGGGGCATCGGATGAACGACAGTTATGCCAAGAAGAAGAGGATTATTATCCAGGTGCTATGTTTCAATGTTGGAATCATTCAACTTGTCTAGATATCAGCATCCTTAGTCTGTGCGATGGAAAGAAGAATTGCCCGTTGAATGATGACGAACTTGTGTGTGATCAAAAATATCTATCGGCTTGTATTCAATCGGATAGACATGAGGCTAGTATGATTATTGATTTTCTCTGTCATTGGCCCTCAGAAAAACCAGAACAAGTCTTTTTTTCACTTCGTAATACAGTAATATATCCCGAACCAAGTGCTATTCAGTATCACGACAATACTTTATTGCGTATGAAGTTGAACTCAAACCAAGGTGCCTCCAGAATGAAGGCCCTCAAATCAATGGTATTAGCAAAAAAGAATGAATTATGGCAATGCAATCGGGGGATCCATATTTTCGTTCGGTTGAGTCATGGCGTCATCTTGCAAAAATGTTTGTGTCCATACGCTTATTATGGTGATTCGTGTGAATATCAAAGTCAGCGTGTTAGTCTCACGTTAAAATTGCAAGCAGAAGCTGATTGGAAAAGCACTTTTATATTGTTGATTCTTCTTATTGACCAGCAGCAAAATATCGAATCGCATGATCAAATACAATATCTTGCGATACGAGATTGTAATACAAAATTCGATATCAGTCTACTTTATTCGACTCAACCGAAGAATATATCTAACAACTATTCGGTACAAATTGATGTCTACGACAAGCATACGTTGACATACCGCGCAACCTGGATATTTCCTATAATTTTTCCGTTTTTACCTGTTTATAGGATTGCTACTACACTTACTATCCCATTCAAAGTATTTCAAAGTTGTCCACTCATGTGTAATCATGGAAGATGCATTCGTTTTGTAAATAAGAATGAGTATGCTTGCCAATGTGATCCAGGATGGAAAGGATCTCACTGTAGTATTTTTCATGAGTGCCACTGTTCTTCGGATTCGTTGTGCGTTGCCGGCGGATGGTCTTCTATTTGCATATGTCCACTAAAAAAGTTCGGTCCTCGTTGTCATCTTACTCGTTACACTTGTCAACCAGATACATGTAATTATCATGATCAATGCATAGAAACTGATGATCGTATTACAGTGAACAATTTTACTTGTATATGCGATGAAGGATATTCAGGAGAGACATGTCAATATACGGATACTAAGATTACCGTTTATTTTCAAGAAGTTCCTATTCCATCTTCAATTTTGGCGCATTTCATTACAGCTGATGGCAATGTACAACATACGCGTACATCAACATTTAAACGGATTCGACCTGATGAAGACTTGGTTTCAATCTATACGTCAAACAAATTTCATTTGTTATTTACAGAATTTGGCAATAATTATTATTTAACTATTGCACAAGAAAAATCCATACTATCAGCCATCATTACTACAACAATCATTCCATCGCAACGATGTCCACATATTAATGAATTATTTAGTTCGACTATACTCGAATTTAGCCGACTAAGACGAATAAAACTTTATCCTTTATTATGTCAAAAACGATCTGAATTAAAATGTTTTTATGATGAAACATTCATATGTTTGTGTACTACTGATCGATTTGCTAATTGTTTTAGTTTCAATCATAGTATGATATACAACTGTCGAGAAAGTCATTTTTGTGACAATAATGCTCAATGCTTTCAAGATAAACCCAAATGTCCAACAAAATCTATGTGTGTCTGTGATGAATGTTTTTATGGAACATATTGTCAATTTTCTACCAAAGGTTTTGCCATATCAGTCGATGCAATTCTTGGCTATAAAATTCGTCCGCATACTATCTTTACACAGCAATCAATGACGGTTAAAGTCAGTGTTTCAATAGTCATGATCATGTTCATGTTAGGTCTTATTAGTAGTATTTTCTCGATTTTTACGTTTCAAACTGAAATATCACGAAAGGTTGGTTGTGGTCTTTATCTTCTTTCGACATCCATCATTTCTCTTCTGACTATGGTTATATTCTTATTGAAATTTTTCATTCTTACTTATACACAAATCAATTTCAATACTCATCGATATTTTCACTTATTCAGTTGCATATCGATTGATTTTCTTCTACGCGTATTATTGAGTATTGGTGATTGGCTTAACGCATGTGTAGCCATCGAACGAATATTTACAGTTTCTAAAGGTGCTAATTTCGATAAAAATAAAAGAAGATCTATTGCTAAATGGATCATTGTTGTTGTTATTGTTTTAACTACATCAAGCATTATTCATGATCCAATTCATCGTCATTTAGTTGATGATACAGAGGATCAACGAACATGGTGTATGACGTCATATTCGTCTACTGTCAAACTTTATGACACTCTAATACATTTTCTTCATTTTTTACTGCCTTTTTTTATTAATGCAATCTCAGCCTTCGCTATCATCATCACTGTTGCTAGACAAAGATCTGCGGTACGATCAAACCAAACATATAAAGAACATTTAAAAATATTATTTCATCAAAATAAATATCTTTTGATTTCACCATGTATCCTTGTATTATTAGCTTTGCCACGTCTTATTCTCTCGTTCTTATCCGGTTGTATGATATCAGCGCGTGATCCGTGGCGTTATTTGGTTGCCTATTTTTTGTCGTTTATACCATCCGTTCTTACTTTCCTTGTTTTTGTTTTGCCATCTAAAATTTACAAGGAAGAATTTAATCGTGCGATTAAAAGATTTAAACTAAATATATATAGACATTCATCTCAAAACTAATTTATTTTCGCCTTACGAACGCACTTGAATTTTTAGTTTTATTAATCAATCGCAATTTAAAAAACACTATTTATCTTTTAATAAAGAATAAGTATTATAACACATAATTGTTTCTAACTTAAACTGTTAGAGTTTTTGAGAAAATAACTCTAACTGATACAACGTAAGATCCTTTGGAATGAATTTGCTTTTAATTTTTAATGAAAAAAAAAATTACTCTATCAATGATGAGACGAGGGTGTGGATGTGGGTGTGGGTGTGTGGGTGTGGGTGTGTGGGTGTGGGGCGTGGGTGTGGGGTGTGTGAGCGTGCGGTGTGTGGGGTGTGGGCGTGGGATGTGGATGTGAGTGTTGGTGTGGATGTGTGGGAGGATGTGGATGTGGGTGTGTGGGTGTGGGTGGGTGTGGACGTGGATGTGGGCGTGGGTGGATGTCGATGAACAGCGAAGAGCACCGGTATACCCACACCCTCACACCCACATCCACACCCACACCCACACCCACACCCACACCCACACCCACACCCAC